TGGGTAGTTGTTCCATGGCCTTCATGTCCCTGCTAATGCATTTTATGTTTTCTTAACATCCTGTTGATCCTGTTGGTCCTATTTCTTTTTTACACCTTTATTTTTCTGGTTTGGTCCCTATATCTTCAGCCTATGCATTTACATCCCAAAACCAGTGAATCTCCTGTTTTCTGAGTGCAGGTTTTCTTACATTAGAGGTCAATGAAGTGGTCTTGATTTAAGCAAATCATCCATCTCTTACAACAGTTCTTTCCCTTCTCGACTGGGTTTGTTTGAATTGATGTCCTGACCATTGTTTCTTTAAGGTGCTGCCAACTTCCCTGAGTTCTCTTTTCTCTGAGACTTGTTTCTCATGATTATCAGTTCTATGAGGTTTTTGAAATATGGTTTCTGGAAGTCCATTGTATTTATTTTGCTGTTCTCCTTCCTTCCTTTCCTACAACTTGTGAACTCTGTTGTTTCATGGTCATTCTCACCCAAGCTGCATTCCTCTTGCATGCTATAAGTGGTTCCTTCTCTTTGGTTAGAGTCAGATTCAGTTCTCAGGTTGATAATGTATCAAGGTTTTAATCTCTTCTTATTTATTCCTCATGCTGTTTGCATTGTTTCATCACGTGATCCATTATGCTCTTCAGCATCCCACCAATGATTTTCTTATGAGTAATGGCATTCCCCCTAGTTTATAGGCCTCTGCCCAGGTACTTGATGCTTCTATTTACCTGTTCACTTTTGAAGCCAGTCCTTGCAGATCCTAGTTGTGTCCATTCAGCAGCTCAGGACACAGAGATGCTCTTCCTGCCTTGTGAGTTCAATACAATCTCTGATCCACCAGTTCTTTTTCTTGGAACATCCATCCAAGTTCACACAAGTCAAAGCCTTTTCCAGTGATATCACCTGCACAGCCATGCGTTTATTTCCAGGAAAAAAGTTCTAAGTAGCTGATGCCATTTGTGACCAAAATAGCTAGTACTTTATTCATGGAAGGGATTTTCCCTTCTTCCTTTAATACATGAACTGGTCTGACCAATGCTAAGAAAACCCACTTGGTATGTATTGGTTCTAGCCAACTGCTAATGTGTCAGATCTGTAATTCCCATGGAAAATTCACATGGAAATTATCCAAGATGCAGTTAGAAGTTTATCTAATTGAAACTCAGTTTGGATTCCAGTGCAAAGTAGTGCACTTACAGTGACACTGGTAAAAAAATAAAAATAATAAAAATAACCAAAAGCCACAACGTTCCTGTAGATTTTTTTTCCCCCCATTATTAATGAATTCATTTGAATCGCTGCCTGATGCATAATTGAATCTGATGTGTATGTTCATGCAATCTTTCTTCTCCCAAACTAGCACCTCCAGCCCCTTATATTTTGATAAATGAAATCAGATCTCTTTCTAAAAAATTCTCTCTTTGGGTTTCTGTAGAGCTGAGGTTGTCAAGGAAGTGATCATCCACATCAGAGCTCCTGAACTAAACTGCCTGTGCTCCTGTCTCTGTTAGCACTTGGATCTTGGTCAGTCTTTCACCTTTTTTTTTTTTTCAGCCAGTGCCTTCCAGTGCTTTCTGTACGAAGGCAAAGTGCAGGAGCAGACCTCCAGCTTGCAGAAGACAGCTCAATTCATTTGAGATAGGTGGCTCAGAGCCAGGACCATCCATTGTGCTGGATCCGAGTCACATTCGCAATTCATCTGTTTATGCCCTGATTAACCATTAAAATAAAATTTTTATCACTCCTAGTTAAAAGCTGACATAAATGAGAGCTTCCCCTTCTGAGCATGAGACCTTGCTCCAAAACAGAATTCCTTCTTCCTGGAGCCAGGCAAAATAACCAAGAGAAGCGACAGATGATTCATCTACCAGCGCTCCCCATCAAAAACTGTAGCTAAAACAAGATTAGTAAGAAGAAGAGCACTATTAAAGGAGGAAACTGCTGCTGTAATTTTGTTAAGGAACATGAGATTATTTAAAAGCCTTTTAAAAAGTGTGTTTGTTCCGGGAGGGGGGGGGTGAGGGAGGATTTTAGAGGAAGGTAGAAGGAAGAGAGGTGATTAGTCTTTTTTGCCTATAAAGATTCATGCTGCTTTCGTTGTCTTAGCCAGCAAGGATAGAGATTTCAGGAGCCACTGAAGTCATTACTTCAGCCCTAATGAATAGGACACAAGCTGCACCTTAGCTTTGCAGAGGCTGAAAGCAGGGGGAAAAAAAAAAAAAAAAAAAAAAGGTTGTGGGGCATAGAGGATTTGGTGCATTATACTGCACATAATTGCAGGTTAAGATTTTTCCCAGCCTTCATTTTTGTTCCTGGCCATGGTGATCCCTAGCATACACACACAGCAGCAATCTCACATTGTTCAGTATTGCTTTATACTCTCAAAGCCACCCACAAGCAAGCCTCAAAGCATGTGCCTGGCTTAGCTCACGGGCAGCTGGTTTTGCACCCAGTTGAGCAGCACTGGATGCAGCAGGTAGTGATGCAGGCTGCCAGTGCTTTCAGCAGGCTCCCCTGTGTTGTATTCTCAGGGTATCACACAGCAAATGCGTGTTATGGAGTGACCCCGTGGGAAATGGTGCAGGGACCTGGGGGGCACAGTCCCAGAGCTGTGAGGAGCAGGGATTTGGGTGAGGCTGCTGGGATGGATCTGACGCTGGGTGCAGACCTCAGCTGGGGACTGCTGCTGGGTTTCCTCTGCCCCAGTGTGCTGGGTCCCCCCTGGAGCCAGGCCAGCACAGCTGTCCCTAGGATCCAGGGCAGAGTCTTTGCCTGGAAAGTTGTAGATCCCATTCTGCTTCCCGAAGTAACTTCTTCACATACCAACTGGATGTGCTGTAGGTGTTATTGAGAGAGAGAGAAAGAGTATTTTTGCCCTGCAGACACAGATCACCAGCCAGGAATTACTCATAACCTCTCCAAATCTCATTCTGTGTTGAAAAAACTAATGGACTAAAGGGATCCTTTAAACCAGATATTTCAGTCATACAAAAAGCATTTTGTGTACAGTGTCAACTCGCAGTCAGAGCTGTGCATTTTGATCAGATTTTCAAGGTCAGACAGGAACTCAATGGTGATCCGGTTTGACCTCAGCTGGTTTTCAGGCTTTCACTCTGTCTGCTGCTGTTAAAAGAGAAGTTTTGCAGCAGGGCTCCCCACCTTTGGCTCAGGAAGGGCCACTCACTGGGCAGGATTTGGCTTGTGGGCTGCCTAAAAAACTGAGAAAACACTGCTGAGCAGCATAGAAAAAGCTCTTGGTCCCAACACAGGTTGTGTCTGAGCATTTCTCCCGGACAAAGGAAGAGTGCTCTGGTGGTAGAGTTCATTAACCACATGTCAAAGTTGCACTGCTGTCACAAACTAATGGTATGTTTTAAATGCAGAGCTCTACTGAGCTGAATGTTATAAAACTTTGGCTTTTTAATGGGATGGGATGGGAGGTTTGAGGGAACTGTGGAAGTTCGGAATTTCAAAAAAACCCAAATGCTACACAAAGGAGCTTGGAAGTTGAGAGAAGTTCCAGTAATGAACAATTTTGAATAAAAAGATTTAATTCATTCAGCAAGAAAAAAATAATAAAAAATGCTCAGAATGTCGCTTTTTTCTGTAGTTAATCTCTTCTAAATATTTAAGGGAAAAAAAACTGAGAGGGAATGGAAATGATGCTTTGTTCAAAAATAAGATCAGATGTTCTACTAAAGACACAAAGAAATCCCACAGCTCATTGTACTCTGGGATACCTCCCTTCAAACAGGCTCACCCTACTTACTGCGGGCCTGGAAGAGCCAAAAATGAGTTTGTATTTTTAAAACGTACAGCTAGGATTCGGTAGCCTATGAATTTGGCTTTAGCCCTCAAAGTGTGTGTGTGTGAACTAGACCTGATGTAAGTTTAATGTACAAACTGACCCCCATCTGGAGGGACCCTCCAGCTCCTTTGCCAGACCCACTGCAGGGCTGGTGCAGCCTCCCCTCACTGCCACACCATGTGGAATCTCCCTCCACAGGCCAGCAACATGCCCAGGGCCTCCAAAACCCTGGATCCATCCAGCATGGACCAAAACACAGGGAGCTGGCTGCACGCCCAAACGCAGGGTTTTGTGGGTGTATTGTGTCCTTGCATACATTTCCAGGCAAAACATATTACACCTAGCTTCAGATGCCAAGCTTTTCCAATTATGAGAGAACAGTAATTCACCAAGGAGTACATATTCCTTCAATTTCCTTTGCTTGGAAATGGTACCGAGAATCTGTTCTGAATGGAGGCAGATGAAAAATGCTACATGTTAATGCATATTCTGGGTTAGCTGTCTTTGTTAAACTAGAATGAGTGCTGCTCATTTCCCATCTGGTCCTCTTTGACATTACTTCCAGAATATATTCACAGCTCTTCTTTGTGCAGTACAAATGGCTGGCTGTAGTACCAACTTTACCTTTTATAGACTGCTAAAATGTTGGTGCCAGATCACAAAATAACATTATACTTCTAGGAAGCATCTGTGGACATTACTTGCTGCAACAGCTTTCTTTTTTTCCTCATTTTCTTGAAACGTAACCATATATGTGAAGCTAGTTTGTTGTCAAACCAAGTGCAAGTTGACGGTTTGACAGCCCTGGAGCCTGCAATCTTCCTCTCACAGTGAGGATGCAGCAGGCAGATCGAGCAACGTGCTATCAGCCTTCTCATCTCTTCTGCACAGCCTTCCCCCAGGGCTGAAAGAGCAGATATTTCTCCATCTGCAGCAGCTCACTGGTGCCATTGCTGGCTGCCATGCCGAAGGATTTTGTGCTCTGGGTCCCTGAGCACTCTGAGTTGCCCTGAAAAATACCAATGCAACAGAAACCGACCAGCTCTCAGCCAGCACCGAGTCCAGTGCTGCCGACCTGAGCTGGTTTTCTGATTATTCCTAAATCTTCCCATCCGTGAGTGTTTGTTGCTGGTGGTTTCCTTAGCAGGCTTCTCCATCCCAGCAACCTCCATCCCTGCCCCCTGATGCGTTTCAGACCTACCTCTGTAAACAAGAGTGTTGTGATCCGAAACGCCCACGTTTGTCTGCCTGGAGTGACCAAGGGCTGCAGCGCCGCGCCGGGAACTCTCACCATAGCAACTACCAGCATTGACAGAATTTGGTACTTATTAAATAGGCTGTTTGTTTACCTCTCAGGCTGTGAGAGTAGACTACAACCTGTGGTGAAGCACCACAAGCTGAACAATGCCAGGCTGCTGCTAGGATCTTCATGTGTAAAACAGATAATCACTATGTTCTCTAAATGAAACAGATAGGGAAAGCCTGCGTGGGGTAGGAGTGTTGAAGATGTAGGGTGACATGGTATTATTATCAGAAGATCAGCAAGCATGCTTGTCATATGCTGCCAGGCACTCTTGGTGGATCCAGCAGATCCATGAGTCCTGCTGGCCGCATCTCCTCAACAGACAATCAGTGATTATGACCATGGGGGTCAGCTCACAGGTTTAGGGAGCAGCAAATACATGGGGGGAAAGAATATTGGTACTCCAGCAGAAACTGCACAAGCCTGCAGATAGAGACTCAGCTCTCAGCCTCTCAGAGGTCATATGTATGGAAGTGGTTTTTAAGATGTTTGCCAATGTCCAAAATGCAGAATCCTGTAACAGTGCAAAAGTGATGTTCACAAAACACCTCTGGTCATCTGTTCAACTGTGTCCGTTCCAGCAACACAGCATCTGCCAGCCTCTGTGCAGCCCCTTTCAGTTGGCATAACCCATGCAGGGCTGCTGTGAGCTGTGCTCAGCAAAGGATGCAAGTCATAAAAATAGAAGGAAGCACCCAAGGTCAAACCTCCACTTCTCACCCCAGCGCTGCCCAACCTCCTTAGCAGTGCTTCTATCAGGGTAACGGCTTTCAAGACCAGCATGGGGGTGCTGCTGGACACCCACCACTGCTCAGGTGGGAGCAGGTCGATACTCAGCCTCTGCACAAGCTCTCCGAGCTGTGGTGTCCCCTGGGTGCTGTGCACTGAGTGCAAACTGCCCATGTGTGCACCCTGGCAGCAAAGCCTCGGGGCAGCTCTGTAAAATCAGCTAATGAGGCTCCAGCACAGCCAAATCCCCAGAGAAGGGGCACGTACGGGCATGGCCAGAGCACCAGCTGGGAGCACTGAGCACCAAGCACGCAGCTGCAGTTTCCATCCAGCACCCAAACATGTTGCCTGCTCTCCCACATCTGGGTGGGAATTCCTGCTCACCTCTGCCTGCCATCTGGATGGGGATTCTTGCTTGCCTCTGTCTGCCTGCTTGCCCCTGCCCCACTGAGGTGTAGGATGTTGTCAGCAATGAGGGGTCTCATCCCAGCAGCAGCCACAGCACGTGGCAGTAAGATGCTGAAAAAGGAATGAGAAGCCGTTCTGCACAACCCCCACCTGGCTTCCCCAATAAAAGGGGCCAGGGCTGATGCTCAGCTCCCTGCCCTAGGCAGGGAGGGGGAGGGAGGTTGGCTGGAGTCACTTTCCATACCATCACCTAATGAAAGCATTTCTGTGAGAGGGACAGGTCCAAGCCCTGTTCCCTTCACCTTTTAGGGCAGCACTACAGCTGTCTGGTCACAGATTACATGCTCAGGACTTTGTGCAGGCAGGTGCTTGTAAGAATGGGGGAGAAATACCTCCGTGACAAAGGTGAGCCTGGAAACCAGACCCCATAGCTCTGTTAATTGCCAAAAACAAGGACTCCACAGGCTTTTATTAACACTACCTCAGGTCTTACCGTGAATTAACCTCTCTCCCTTCCTTAGGCAGTAATTCTTGCTCTTTTTTTTGCCTAACCTCACTTTGCTAACAGTCTTCTCTTCTGTGCAGGTGCTAGCCCTTCTTTTCACTTACTCAAAGTAATCAACAAAATTAAACTCAAGAAATTGTGCACAGATATCCCCAGACTGAAACTGCTGCTTCTGTGGAGTCTCCTTCACTGGAGACATTCAAAACCCACCTGGATGAGTTCCTGTGTGATGTACTCTAGGTGACCCTGCTCTGGCAGGGGGGGTTGGACTAGATGATCTTTCGAGGTCCCTTCCAACCCCTAGGATTCTATGATTCTTTCAAACCCAAAGAAGGTGCCAAAAACAAGGACTCCACAGGCTTTTATTAACACTACCTCAGGTCTTACCGTGAATTAACCTCTCTCCCTTCCTTAGGCAGTAATTCTTGCTCTTTTTTTTGCCTAACCTCACTTTGCTAACAGTCTTCTCTTCTGTGCAGGTGCTAGCCCTTCTTTTCACTTACTCAAAGTAATCAACAAAATTAAACTCAAGAAATTGTGCACAGATATCCCCAGACTGAAACTGCTGCTTCTGTGGAGTCTCCTTCACTGGAGACATTCAAAACCCACCTGGATGAGTTCCTGTGTGATGTACTCTAGGTGACCCTGCTCTGGCAGGGGGGGTTGGACTAGATGATCTTTCGAGGTCCCTTCCAACCCCTAGGATTCTATGATTCTATGATTCTTTCAAACCCAAAGAAGGGCTTTTAGACCTGGAGACTAACCATGGGAGCTTGTCTGATAAGGGTTATTATCTCTCCATACAAACCTGGCCTTGCCTAATGGCAGGGAGAGGAAAATCCTGTGCTCTTGTCCATGTTCCCCTAACTCTTTTAGCATCTCTTTAATTTTAAATGCAGAGTACTTTCCTTAGGGGTGCCCTGAGCATGAGGCTGGGGAGCTGCTTCCGCTCTTCATCTGCTGGCTAACGAGAGCCTTAGTTATTTTTGTTTCAGCATCTGTGGGAGGAAGGATGGAGAATGCTGCTGCATCCCAGCCAGGCGTGGGTGCCCCCCTGGATTACTTCCAGTGAGTTTTTCTCCTTGTCTGAATGTGCCCATGATGAGAACCAGGGGGCCTGGTCCCCACAGCTGGGGTCCGTCTGGGCCACAGCAGCAAGCAGATACCCCAGAAGGCAGCAGGGAATAAATTGCTACTGCTTCACTGCCACCACCCAAGGTACAGCTCTGAGCACACCATGATGTCTGGGGTAGCATTGTGGTTCACTTGGACATCATAGCCCCTCAAGTCTTCAGCATGTTGCAGTTCTGGGTGCTTGACTTTAGACGGTGAAGATTTCATTTTCTGAGGTGCCAAACTCTCCTCACTCTTGGTGCAATCAGGCCGAGCACAGCAGAAACATCAAATTAGAGCCTCTGGTTTGGTTAGAGAATGGGGGAAGCAGCAGTGTACCCGGAGGGGAGAGGTTATTGCTCTGCCTTTGAAAGGGCAAGGATGGAGTTCAGTGAAGGTATGAGGATTAAGCAAATGCAAATGGTGAGCATGTAAATGGATGATCAGATTAGAGGGAGAGCTGCAGGCCCTTGCATGTGGGGACAAGCAGAGTTATGGGGCTGCTACTGGCCAGGCCACAGGGATTCTTGTTTTGGTGCTTTGGCTGCTCCTGCCTCTCAAAAAGGTGTTGCTTTGCCTTCTTTCCAGGTTGGCTGTGGCAGGTTGTTATGTTGCTCATGTTCCAGCCTCATCACTTATTGTGCCCGACAAATTTCACATTTCAAAGTATTTTTCTACTGACTGTCATATAATTGGCTCTATGATCCAAAACATGGCCTGGAGTATTTCAGGGTGATTATATGAAAGACTTTCAAATGCTAGAATTTCTTCAGTGTCAGACGTTTGGTGGGGCATGAAGATACAGAGATGTTGACAGGTGGTTTCCTGCCATTCTGTTCTTCAAAGAGAGAGAAGATGGCATGTGTCTGGCTCAGATGGGCTGGTAATTTCCAGCTCACCTGAAGGACCTTCCAGTCATGTGTGGGGCTTCCTCAGCACAGGGTAAAATCATAGTCCCTTAGAAATTCACCATGAGTGAAAAGACATGTAGAAAGTGTATCTTTGCTCAAGAATTAAGCAATGTGCAGAATTAATTACATTAAACATAAAAAAAAATATATTTGTATATGGATTTTGTACATGTATGACCTAGGCAAGAGGCAATATAGTTTTTCAACCAGGTCATTTCTTTCTCCTTTCCTACTTCAATGATTTCTGATGAACCGCAATTGCCTTCAAAATATTAAGGAGAGTGGTTGAGGACAATGTAGAGTTGAACACAGAAGAACACTGACCCATTTTTCACCATTCTAAAAGGTGTCCCAGCTTTACTTTTGCTGGACTCAAACCATCCCTGAACACCAGCAGTCATTTCTGATTACTGCTTCAGGGTAACACTGGTGTCTTTCCTGGGCATCTGTTCAAAGTAGAGACTGCTCTGCATCTGTACCTGCAGGACTTCCCTGTGGGAAGGGGAGGATCTGGCCCAGCACACATTAACCCTGCTGTCCCCCTCCTCTCCCAGCCACAGTGCAGGGCTGTGAGGGAGGCCCCTGAGCTCTGGGACTGCCTGCTCATCCCCTGCCTGCTTCAAATATGCTTCTTCCCACTGGGAAGTTGCACGTCCATGATTTGGGACTGAATCAAACCTGGGCTTCAGGGACATCTGAGCTCAGAGCAGACCTGAAGCCCCCAATTCCTCCTGGTTCAAATACCTGGGAGGCAACTGTTAGAAATTAGACAGTAAGTCCCTTTGTTTCACTCTTCTGACTCATCCTCTTTTACTGCCTCACATTTCCAGTGACAATTGAGTCCAACTGCCAGTTAGAAGAATTATTCTTGTGCCTGATGGAAGAGACACCCATTGCTATCCATTGCCATTAGCAGCCTGTCAATAGAAATTAAATTACATGAATAAGGCGCTATCAGTGCCAACATCACTGCAGGAAAACATTAATTAATCCTCATTTACATTAGTCAGTGCTACCATCAAAAAGACTCTTCTGTTGCTCCAAAAGACATTTCCACAAATTATTGTTGCTGTCTGATAAACAGATTCACAGAACTTCTCTGACTCACTTGGGCACTCACCATCGCCATTGCATTCGGGGTCTGAACAAAGCAAATGCTTTGTGGGATCCTATTCAAAGCCCAGGTTGAACATTGGGCCTCTGAGTCCTATTCAAACCCACCCAGAAACAGAACAGGTGGAGCTTCAGGCTTTAAAGAAAATAAATCCCCCATTAACGTACAAAAGTCAAAGCAAATTTATTTATCTAAGTTGCTGGTGTGCCCA